GTGAGCTGCTCTAGGTATTTTGAATTATCTTCAGCAAAATTTTACTTGCATGAGATATTAGTGATATTGTTCAGTAATTTCTGTGTCCTGTTAGGTCCCCATTTTGGGGAATGGAAATAAATATGAGTCTCTTCCAGTGAGTTGGTCTTCCAAAGTTCTTTGCATATACTGGTGAACACATCTAGGATTCCATCTGTTTGTTGAAACATGTTAATTGGTATTCTGTTAATTCCTGTGGCCTTATTTTTTTGCCAGTGCCTTCAGTGCTTCTTGAACTTCTCCCTTCATTACCATTGGTTCTGGATCATACGCTTTTTCCTGAAATGATTCTATGTCAACCAATTGTTTTTGGTATAGTGACTCCGTGTATTGATCTTTTTAATGCTTCCTGGGTCATTTAAGGTTTTTTCTGTAGTATCCTTCAGCATTGCAACTCAATGTTTGAACTTGTTTTTCAGTTTGACAAAGGCCAAGCGAGTTGTTACTTTTTTATTTTTTACTCCATCTCTTTGCACATTTCATTATAACTTTGTTTTGTCTTCTTGAGCTAACCTTTGGAATCTTCTGTTCCACTCTTTTATTTCATCATTTCTTCCCATTGTTTTGGCTTCTCAGTGCTCTCATACAATTTTTAGAGTCTCTTCTGGCATCCATTTTGACCTTTTCTTTCTCCTCTGTCTTTATAATGAATGGCTTTTTTGTTTGCTTCATGGATTATATTCTTGATATCATTCTACAACTTAATCTGGTCTTCATTCATCTTTAGTGCCTCAAACCTGTGCTTGAGTTGGTTTTTCAATTCAGGTTGGGTAGATTCAGGGTTGTATTTTGGTTCTTGTGGACTTGCTTTCATTTTCTTCAGCTTCATTTTGAACTTTCATAGGATTAATTGTTGTTCTGTTCCATAGTCAACACTTGCCCTGGTTTTGACTGCTGATACTGAACTTCTCTAATGAATTTTTCTTCATTTGTAGTCAGTCTGGTTCTTGAACTTATTTCCTAGTTAAGTTAAATTATTGGTTGATTTTAAGAAAACTTCAGGAATGTGGAACAGATGTCAAATTCTCATGGAGTCTGGACTTTTTTGAGCCGTGGAGGGTGGTTGAACCCAGAAACTGTTGCTTAGGAGTCACCTTTAAACCTCAAACCAAAAATATCTCTTGAACTCATCTTGAAACTAAATAGTTTAACTTAATGAATTTAAAGGTTGGGAGCTCTGGTGGTCTGATGGGTAAGGAATTGAGTTGCCAGTCCAGAGGTACTCAGTTTGGATCCACTAGTTGCTCCTTGGAAGAAAGATAGGTAATCTCTTTCTGTGTGATTTACAACCTCTGAAAACTCCCTGGAGAGTCAGCTGGTTCTGACTAGATGGCAGTTAGTTGAGTTTTGAGTTTTGAGGCTGTCTTAGGGAAGAGAGTGGGGTGGAGCTCCCCGATTAAAACAAGCTTGAAAGGAGGAGTGGCATCCACTTCTGTAATAGCTTGCCTCCAGAAACCCTGTTAACCTGGAGAGGGGATGAGAGACACCCAAGCGTTGAGGCCTCTCCTTCATAGGGTCACTATGAGTCACCTGCGACTCGACAGCACTTAACAACAATAACATCAACATAGAGAGAGAGATCAGCTGGCCCAGTGGACAGAAAGTGATGCTACCAAGCCAAAGGTGGATGACTTTTAATCAGTGGCCCTTGGGCCTGTCTTTCATTGTTTTTGTTCAGACATTCCTCTGGGTCGTATAGCCCTGGTGTACAAGTTGCCGTACATCGGTAACTTGTGGTTGCTGTGAGGCTGAACACTGTGACACTGATGTGTCTAATGCGTTAATGGTTGGTTACCCAATGCGGACAGAGTGGGGTGGAGCTCCCTGATTAAAACAAGCTTGGAAGGAGGAGTGGCATCCACTTCTGTAATAGCTTGCCTCCAGAAACCCTATCAACCTGGAGAGGGGGTGAGAGACACGCAAGCGTTGAGGACTCTTTCATAGGGTCGCTATGAGTCGCCTGCGGCTCGACGGCACTTAACAACAACAGGGAAGTAGTTTCAGGGGTTCATCTAGTTTCCTTAGATCCAGAAAGTAGATTCTTTTTTTTTTTTTTTTTCATTCTTTGAGAACTTAAAATTCTTTTCTCTATTTACCCTGTTGATATGGCTCCTTCTGTGCAATTTTTTATTTAGTAATTGTAGCTAGACCCATGCAGCTTTGGTCTTGTGGCAGAGACTTTTTTTTTTTTAAACCCTCATTAACATGAAAGTTGCAAGAAAATACACTTAAAGACTTAACAGAGGATGAATATTTATCTAACCTTCCTAGGTCTCTGATAGAATATGATATTAGAAAAATTAGGATTTGACGTAAGAGGATTGTATATTTACAGCTCTGCATTGTTTTAACATTAAAGATAAGCATTGTCTTTACAGCAAATTACTTACTAGATTTAAAAAAAAAAAAAACCAAAACCCTCGACTGGTAAAATCAAGTTGGTGTTTTGTAAACTCTTTAACACACTCAGGTCATTTTGTATTCTAAGCTATAACAATCAGTTACGAGGGAGAGAGAAGAATCAGTTAATTCCTTTTCCCATATAGTTTTCTTAATGTGTACGTTAGAAGATACCTGACATGGTACACCTTCTTACTGTATAGTGAGTAAGGAGTTGTACTGCCAGCCTAGTAGGTAAGGAGTTGTAGTGCCAACTCAAAGGTTCAAATCAAGTGTTCACATCTACCAGTTGCTCTGTGAAAAAAGATGCACATTCTCCTTTGGTGTGAATTACAGTCTCTGAAAACCCAGTGGAGGGTCAGCTATGATTTGGTTCCAACTTGATGGCAATGAGTTAAGTTTTTGTTTTGTTGACAGCACTTTTAGAACAGCAGAAGGACATTTTGTTCAAAGTACACAAAAAAAGTATAGCTTCTGATTTAAGATTCCTTGAATATTCAGGTACAGTCATGCACTTCTGGCATCATGCACAGATTAAATGTAAAGGCAGAGCTGATTGTTTCTCTTCAGCTCTATTTGTATTATTGGGTTGTTGTTTTTTGGGGTGTGGGTGTGTGCATGCACATGTGTGCTTTGTTTATTTAAAATTTTATTTTGTTGAGGATGTCATCCTGGGTAGATAAATTCATAGCTAAAAGCCCAGAGGTTTTAGAGTAGTGAATAAAACTCAAACTTACTGTCTTCAAGTGGGAACTGACTTGTAGCTGACCCTCCACTGGATTTCCAAGGCTGTGAATGCATGGCAGAAGATTGCCCATCTTTTTTCTTGGTACCATTGGTGGATTTGAACCATCAGAGAGGTGTACCTTTTGACTTATCAGCATAATTCCCTATGAACTAGCAACCAGATCCTTTTAGTGTCACTAAAATTATTTTCTTTTGTCCTTGTGTATTTCTGGTAGCAATAGTGGTAGTCCTTTTTTTTTTTTTTTTAAATTTGTGTGTGTGTGTGTGTGTGTGTGTGTACCGTCAAATCGGATCTGACTGGTACAGGAGGAAATTGCCCCTGGATTCAAACCTCATACTTCTGGGATTGCAGTGCAGCTTCTTGCCACTAGGCCACCAGAGCTCCCTAGTGGTAGTCTTAATAGTAATAATAGAAAGACCTTTATATAGCATTTATAGGGGCCCTGATGTTGCAGTGGTTGATTGGATGTTGGAACCTACAGTCCTTCTGTGGGGTAAGGATATGCAGGCTGCTTCCATACACGCAGCCTCTGAAGATTTACAACCTCCAAAGCCCTGTGAAGCAGTTCTCTTCTGTCCTACAGTTGCTATGAGTAGGAATTGACTCAGTGCTAGTGGATCTGGGTTTGGTTATAGTATTTACGGTATATCAGGCAGAAATCTGCGGGATGGTCAGTGGATTGGTTCTAACTTAGCAACAAACAACAACAGGCAAAAAGCAAAGTGCTTTATCTAGATTACTAACTCATTTAGTTCTCAGTTAAGTCTATGGGATAGATGGTATTATCTTTTTACTCAAAGTAAGTTACTGACTACTTCAGGTGGTAAAAGCTAGTAAGTGACAGAACTAGGAACTGATGTGAGGCAGCCCGGTGCCAGGGTCCTTTCTCTTAACATCATATTGTGCAATGTTTATGTGATACTTACATAAGTAAAGGGAAATGTGAGATTAAAAAAATGCTTTTAAAATCTCTGTGGGCTCTATGGAACTTATTATTTGTTCATTTAGTGTTCTCTTTAGAATCGGTGATTATAGAGAAAACATTTAATCTCAAAGCATTCATCCCTGTTTTCAAAGTAGTGTTTTCAGATCTGTTCTCCAGCTAAGACCTTGCATTTAGAAAAGTATACTTGAACTTTTAGTTACATTGGCAGATCAAGAGCTTACACACAGGATATTGCATGTGAATTCTTAGACCTTGTGTGCTGACCTCCTAAAGCAGTAATTTGGATAGATCACAGTGTTTCCACTAGAGTGAGGCAGTTTTAGGAGTTCTGACTTCACTATTTTTAATGTGTCTTAGTAGGTAGACCACTCCACAAATGCAGCCAATCTTACACAATTTCTGAAGACCTTTGAAAGTCATTAAAATCCAGGGAATTTCTAAGCATTTTAAAGTAGAACTATTAACCATGTGATAAGTAGAATAAAGAAAAGCACCTTCCCATTTTGTAATGTTTACAGTATAGATCTGAAGAGCCTCCTTTTAATCGTGCAAAATTGGTTTTCAGTTGGATGTAGATTTGCATGCTCTTCTTTACCTTTAAATTGGAGAGAATTTTTTTTTAATTGTGACAAAAATATATGTAAAATATATGAAAAGTAGGTAGTCTTCTCCCAGGTGTTTTACAGCTTCCGAAAATCTACTGAAAGGTCAGCTCTGAGTCGGTTGCAAGTTGACAGCAATGAGTTTTATTTTGACTCTGATACTTTGGATGAATCAAGTGTTTGAAAGAAGGAAGAAATCAACAGTCCATCCATCTAGTGTGCGTCTTATGAAAGTAGATAATTTTCTTCTTTTTCTTTTCTTTAGGTCTATGAAGGCTTGGACATTGTCACCAACAAAGTTTCTGCACAAGAGCAAAGAATCTGCCAGCATCACATGATAAGCTTTGTGGATCCTCTTGTGACAAATTATACGGTGGTGGACTTCAGGAACAAGGCAGCTACTCTGATATCCTTAAAGAGCTAGTAACTAGGATTGGTGGGTATAAGGCAATCAAACCCTAGCTAGAGATTTCCTAAGCTAGTTGTTTTCTCGTTCTACTGATAATTTCTTTAGCAGGGGTACCTAAAATCTTATTAATAGAAGATTGCCCTATTAATTTCCCTCAGAACTCTGAGGATTGAAACAGAATGGAGTGCCGTGCTATTCAAAGCATAGTCCTCTGAAGACAGCTTTTTTTGGAAGTTTGTTAGGATTGCTATATTTTGAGTGCCACTTCAGACCTACTGAATCAGAATGTACATTTTAATCAAAGTCCCAAATGGTTCATGGTGTGTGTGTGTGTGCGCGCGCGCACACACACACACTTAAAATTTGAGAAGAATGGGTTAATGGGTTTGATGTAGAGAACACTGATTTAAGAATGAGAAGATCTGTGTTCTAGTCCTGGAATTGTGCATTTTTTAATGAGAATTTTATTGGATAATACATTGAATTAAAATTCCTGTGAGTTTCAGCTTCTACTTTTTAAATAGAGATACCAGTAATTTTGAAGAATTAAATAATTTGTAAATATATTGATGTTAAAATTAGCATTTTAAAGGAAATGTTAGGTGAGGCAGACTGGGAAACTAGTGCTGGGTAAAACGAAGACATTTTTGAACAGGAATAATATAAGAATATTTGTACTGCCAGATAGTGAAGCAATGAAAAGACCTATTAAGTAGAGTATTATAGAGCATATAGAATACTAGACCAATTATGCCACAGGATAGAAAACCCACATATAAACTCAAATTTATGCAAATATATAACTTATGGTGACATTTTTAAGTTTTGGAGAAATGATTAAGTAGTTAATGATTATTGCTGGGACAGTTAATTGTTTTGGAAAAAATAAAGTCAGGTCTTTTGTATAATAGCAAAAATAAATTCTCAAGAATATATATATGTGTATGGATGTGTTGACAGATAATTAACATACAATTAATATTCTGTGGTTTTAGAGTAGGGAAGTGTAGGCTTTGTAAATATAAGTTTGTTTAAAAGGGAAAATAGCTTTATTTGAAATTCATTCTGCTGAGAAATTTATCAACCAGAGTTCCTAGGAATATACCATAGAGAAACTGGTGTTCAGTAGTCTAGGAAATATTTGGTAAATCTCAGTGATAATATAATTGCTCTTAATAGCAAAAATATATTAAACAACCAGATTTCTGCTTCTAGAATAATGTTTGAGATTTACTATATTCATCTAAATACTTTCCAGCAGTGAAATAGCAGCTGACTAAAGTACAGATATGTACATCAAAGAATGTATAAAGCTTTTGGAAACAATGTTCAGGGGGAAAAAATTGGGAGATTTATGTGTTCATTCTATTTTTCATTTACACTAAAAGCAAGAAAACCAATATATTGTTTAAGAATGTTTTTGTTACGTGCCATCGACTATGACTCACAGTGACCCTGTGGATGACAGTTTGTAACCTTGCACTGTTCTGCCCCATCCTTACCATCTCCATCATAATCAAGCTTTTTGGTGTAGTCACTGTGGCAGCCCATCTCGTTGGTCTTCCTCTCTTTTACTGACCCTCTACCTTTCTCAGATGATACCTTTTTCCAAGTACTGGCACCTCCTGGCAACATACCCCAAGTTATCCTTGTCTTAGGAGCACCTTGGTTACATTTCCTCTAAGACGTTTGTTCTTTTAGCTCTCCATGGTATATTTGATATTTTACACCAGTATCACAATTGAAAGATGTCAATTCTTCAAACTTCTTACACATTGTCCAACTTTCAGATGCATATGAAGCATTTGAAAATATGATAGGTTGGGTCAGGCTTATCTTAGTCTTTAAACTGGCAGATTTGCCTAATGCAGCAAGTCTTTTGGTATCTTGACTGCTGTTAGCAGTGAGTGTTGATTGTGAATCCAAATAAAATGGAATCTGACAAATTCAATCTTTTCTACATCTATTATAATGTTACCTCTTGATCCACTTAGGAGAATTTTTGTTTTGATGTTGAAGTGTAATCTGTAATGAAGACTATAGTAATTGATCATCTTCAGTAAGTGCTTCAAATCTTCCTTTTCTGCAATCAATGTGTGCCATCTGCATAATGTAGGTTGTTGAAAGGTTAGAGTCTTTCTCTAAACCTGCTGCCACATTTCTTTTCATATAGTCTAGGTTCTCAAAATTATTTGGTCAGCATATAT